ACATAACTTGACATTAACAAAAGAAATCGGTCCAGTTCAGTTCTTGCCTGTAAATGTGACAGCAGTGCTGTTGACCATGTAACAACAAAATATCAAGATTGCTAGTAACATTCTTAACATGTGTTTAACAGTACACAGTTGTTAAAAAAGCATTGATACTGAGAAGATAGAGTCAAACAATGCACTGATATTTTTGTCTGTGTCAGCTATGTTTGTACTATGTGCATGCTGGTATAGTATAATATCATTGCCAACTATCAGTATATTTCTGTCTTTATAATATAAATACCAATATACAAACTTACAAGTTGGCCAACTTTCTATGTAACGCAATGAAAAAGAAGAAGCAACCACTATAGCCCAAATCATAGACATTCATTTATCCAAGTATTACTGTCTATCAAAAAGGTAAGGGTTGCCCAACTCACAAACCTATTGACGAATTGGAGGCATCAGGTTTCAAGACAAGGTAATTATCTGTCTTGCTAGCATCACTTAATAGTATTGACATGGAGCTGGAACATAATAAAATTACCATACTTAATGATAAGAGGTTTAATCAAGCTGATAGTAGAAAAATGACCTCTGAGACGATCTTGTCCACCCGCAAAGTCATAGACCTTGAGAGAGACCAGAGACTAAAGGTTATATTTAATTACAAACTTAGCTTGAAGTAAGAAATTCATTGTGTTAAATATTGCGTATTTCACAAGGGTAACTATCAGCTGGTCCATGTTCAAACTTCCTCACCTAGATCATTCTCAGAATCTCACCTGGAATCTCCAGATTAACACCCATGGTCATTAAATTTCTACAATCTAGATTTCATAATTCTTGAATTATCACAAACATCAAACTTTGACGGCTGAAACTTTGAATTTGAAAGCATGTTTAATAATATAAGATAAGATGAACAGAAGATATTTTAACATGATCAATAATATTATGTATGAGAAAATAATATAAAGAGAAGAGTAGTTATTGAACATAACATATAATATGGAATAAACATGTCCATTATAATAAGCTATAATGTTACAAACTTTATGTATAGTTTTATAATAACCTATTGTTTCTAGTCAATTCTAATGGTAAAATAAATACACTTACACCAACATGTTACATGGCTTTCTATATTTAACATCAAACAGTAACCAAGATACATGTACTACAAGTCTTAGTACAAAACTTATGTCTTGTTGTGGCCCAGCATGTTGCAAACTTGGAAATCCTGAGTTTTACAATAACTAAAAAAGTTCATAAGGTCAACATAGAAAAGTCTATCTGTTAGGATACAATGATAATCCAAGACCTTGTGTTCTTCAGACTTGTGAGTCAGATGGGAGTCACAACCATCCAGCCTAACTTTGAACTGATCTTCATGCCAAATTATGCAGTAATAATGAAAAGCTGGTGCCCGGTTCTGTACTGAGACGTGTTGGATCTCTAGAGATTTAAATCCACTGCACTGATCAGTGTACATTAATTTCATGGCTCATTTACAACCAACAATTTTCCAATAATAAGGCATGTATATATTCAAACACTTTATAATCTGTGAAAGAAAACTGTTTCTTTAATAACTTCAAGGCATGCAAAAAAAGAAGCAATTGGTTTCTAAATTGAGAATAAATATCAGAGGTTAGTTTATTATATGATCAGAATAAAATATACCATTTCAATTTCAACTTGTCATTATTGTCTATAATAAGAAACAGATTTATACTTATTATTTTATTTTTTTCATTCAAACCATCTGATTTCAAACCAGTCTTTAATGGAATTATGATATCTTTGCATGAATAGCATTTTGCTAGTTTAAACATATTACAGTGGTCTCAATATTTGCTACAGGAGCTGAAGTTCAGCCGTCAATATTACTTTTCAGAATTTAAATGCCTGCAAATAACACAACACATAACAATAAAATACTAAGAAAGTTGAGACAGTTCCAGGCTGTACTGGAATTCATATCAGTAATATCAGCATGTGAAAAAATGAACATAAAATTTGGAGGAATAACATAAGAAGAAATCTGCTATGGAGATCTGAAATAGAGGTGATCCATTTAATACACACATGATATTCTATTCCATTCAGTACCTCAGCCAGTAGGTTATGATGTTTTTTTTCTATGTTTTAAAGGTTAATAATCTATCTAGATCTGTAGTACAATCAGCCTGTTCTGGTTTTAATCAAACTTAATTCAACTATTATCTGATATAAACTATTTTAAACTAACAGTTTAACTTGAAGCTGTGATATAATTTATTCCTACATTAACCCTTTTACAACCTGTAATGAATCATCACAACATTCCAAATTTACCCTCCACTGTATTGAGACAGCTTCTTAATCTTATTTCAAAACAAGTCTAAGAAACTTAAAATGGATTGTAACTCTGTCTGTTAGACATGGGCTATGTAAGTTAATTGGTAGTTGTGGTGGGTTGGTATACGAAAGTCTGAATACCTAGACTGCATTTAATACATGAGAGATCATTCAAATTTGACATGAGCTCATCTCTTGCTGTAGACACATTGCTGATCCTCAATCCTCAGCAGGACAGTCGACAGCCAGTTTGATTGAATGTATGAGTAAAGTGAGGATTGTTGTCTCTAAAATCCATGCTATATTGAGTTGATTTACACTCCTTTATGAGAGAAATATACATTATTGCAGATAATGACTTTTGTGGCGCTGACTGTCTGGAATGTCACATGGTTTGTCATTCCAGAAGTTCACAATCAGCGATACACTTACCTCTTTCCATACTTTGGTTTGTTATAAACGTGTTTTCATGAAATCTATTCCACTTTCCCTTTTTTGTCGGCAGAATATGGTGTTGATTTGCACTCTTTTTGAGAGAAATCGAATCATTGGAAAATTTGTCAAACTACTGTAAACAGTTTTGTATCTTTTTCGTATAAAGTAAATATTTCCTAGTGTTGAAAAACATCATAAGCATTTTTTTCTACATGTACAAACATATTAAACTTATCATATTTCTTACCTATAGACATTTAAACAGTTGTAAATCAAGATCAATCAAATAAAAACAAGCCACAAATCAGAGTTCAATCAAATAAAATCCTTTTAAGACACAGTGATATCCTTTTAGGGTGGTGAAATTTCACATAATAATCTTTGGACTAAAAAAGTTTTGAAGTTTGTTACCTGTGGCAATAAATCATGACTAATTGGGACTGTAATTAATATTTTTTTAATTATGTATTTAATAAGTAATAAATAAAAAGATAAGGAGAAAGCCTGGAGGTATTTAATATTGATAGTCAATGACATTAGCCACATCATATTAAGATAATATTAAATAGATCTTCTCTTTGATAATAATCAATTAAACATTGCTTAAACTTCCTGGACCACTTTTAACAATGTTAAATAGTCATGGCACAAGAAATTGTGAAAGATTCAACCTAATCCTTTAACAGGTAGATGTATATCTAACTTATCACTGACAACCACTTCATACTTGAAAGATGTCCTAACTGTGCTGCTATGGAACATTGACTCAGAGTGCCTTTAACTATGTATTAAGATGGAAATAGACGATGTTGGATTATAGATACAGTAGAAAATAGTAGAAGTGAATTGTGACAGCATCATGTCCAAACCCATACGTCATGTTCACTTGTTCAATTTTCAACTATATCGATAATCCCACATCATACACTGCACTGGACATCGTACATTGTCTACTTGCAGCTTAAATGTGATATGATATTGTACAGTAATCACAATTATCGGTGATAAGCGAGTTACAAGGTTTGTTTTGCTTAATTTATGTTAAACAAGCATTTTAGAATTTGTATAAAATGTTTTAATTTTCTCGCATTTTCTTAGAGTTTTGATAGCAAATGATAGCAAATTGGTGTGACAATGTTATGACTCATTGAGACCTAGAGCTCAAGGCTCAAAAAGATCAAATCCTTTCCATCTCATAACCACATAGAGAAATTATATCATGGTTTTTTAATAGTTTGTTTCAGAAGTTGAAAGTTTATGCTTCGTTGATTTTTCTACAATCAGCAGACCCATATGATTTTAAATACAAACATATCATATTTCTTACCTACAGACATTTAATCAGTTATAAATCAAGGTCAATCAAATAAAAACAAGCCACAAATAAGAGTTCAATCAAAGATAATCCATAAGAAACATGCAAAGTAATGTTTTCAAACACACTGATATGGAGAAAAATATATTAAACTTGTAAATTAGGTATTCATTTTTATATAATTTATTATACATGCATATATTAAAAATATATTGAGTTACATATTTCATTATTCAACTATCTTTGGCCAATATTATATATCATTAACAGGCTTCAAGTCCAGATTTTCTTATTTTACGCTTGCCTAATTACCTAGAATATGTTACTAACAGTATTTTAATTTATCTTATCTCCACAACTTCTCACGACAACTCTCTATGGATTAGAGGCCATTTTAAATAGATTCAAAACTAGGAAATAGAAAGTTGAGAATAATAAGAATGAATCAATTAGAATACAGTTAAGGATAGTTGTAAAGATATTAGAATACAGTTAAGGATAGTGGTAAAGATAATAGGAATACAGTTAAGGGTAGTTGTAAAGATATTAGGAATACAGTTGAGGATAGTTGTAAAGATATTAGAATAAAGTTAAGGATAGTGGTAAAGATAATAGGAATACAGTTAAGGATAGTTGTACAAGATATTAGAATACAGTTAAGGATAGTGGTAAAGATATTAGAATACAGTTAAAGATAGTGGTAAAGATAATATGGAATACAGTTAAGGATCAGTTGTAAAGATATTAGAAAACAGTTAAGGATAGTGGTAAAGATAATAGGAATACAGGTAAGGGTAGTTGTAAAGATATTAGGAATACAGTTAAGGATAGTTGTAAAGATATTAGGAATACAGTTAAGGATAGTTGTAAAGATATTAGGAATACAGTTGAGGATAGTTGTAAAGATATTAGGAATAAAGTTAAGGATAGTTGTAAAGATATTAGGAATAAAGTTAAGGATAGTTGTAAAGATAATAGGAATACAGTTGAGGATAGCTGTAAATATATTAGGAATACAGTTAAGGATAGTTGTAAAGATATTAGGAATACAGTTGAGGATAGTTGTAAAGATATTAGGAATAAAGTTAAGGATAGTTGTAAAGATATTAGGAATAAAGTTAAGGATAGTTGTAAAGATAATAGGAATACAGTTGAGGATAGTTGTAAATATATTAGGAATACAGTTAAGGATAGTTGTAAAGATATTAGGAATAAAGTTAAGGATAGTTGTAAAGATATTAGGAATACAGTTAAGGATAGTTGTAAAGATATTAGGAATACAGTTAAGGATAGTTGTAAAGATATTAGGAATACAGTTAAGGATAGTTGTAAAGATATTAGGAATACAGTTAAGGATAGTGGTAAAGATATTAGGAATACAGTTAAGGATAGTTGTAAAGATATTAGGAATACAGTTAAGGATAGTGGTAAAGATAATAGGAATACAGTTGAGGATAGTTGTAAAGATAATAGGAATAAAGTTGAAGATAAAAGTATAGAGTTGAGTATAATAAAGTAGAGATAAGATCAATGATAATAGAGTTGATGATAATAAGAATAGAGTTAGTGTAATAAGAATAGAGTTGATGGTAAAAAGAATAGAGTTAATGGTAATTAGAATACTCTTGAGAAATAAAATGAATTGAATTTTACTCCTACTTTTCTGCACCTTATGGTCTAATGAAGATGGACAACGGACACAATGAGGGTAGTTTTGCAAGGACAGCAATATTAGCCTACTCTTTTTTGATTTCCAACTATCGAGGGATATTTAACGTGCACAGCCTTTAATACATTGGACCTCAGTTTGTCCCATCAGAACGGCAAGACACTTTTTTCATGTCAGTCCCTCGACTAGCATCATTGACAAGGCATTACCTCGACCTATTACGGGATTGAACCCTGGACTTTCAGGTAAATGAGCAAATTTCTAACTCTTGAGGATAATAAGAGTAAGTGTAGAGTGTCTTGAGAATGGAGTTGAGTATAATAAGAATGGAGTTGAGGATAACAAGAATAATATCTAGTGTTTTAAGAATATAGCAATAGTTATAAGAATAGAGTTGATGGGAATAAGAATAGAGTTGATTGGAATAAGAATAGAGTTAATGGGAATAAGAATAGAGTTGATGGGAATAAGAATAGAGTTGATGGAAATAAGAATAGAGGTGATGGGAATAAGAGTAGAGTTGATGGGAATAAGAATAGAGTTGATGGGAATAAGAATGGATTTGATGGGAATAAGAAAAGAGTTGATGGGAATAAGAATAGAGTTGATGGGAATAAGAATAGAGTTGATGGGAATAAGAATAGAGTTGATGGGAATAGCAATAGAGTTGATGGGAATAAGAATAGAGTTGATGGGAATAAGAATAGAATTGATGGGAATAAGAATAGAGTTGATGGGAATAAGAATAGAGTTGATGGGAATAACAAAAGAATTGATGGGAATAAGAATAGAGTTGATGGGAATAAGAATAGAGTTGATGGGAATAAGAATAGAGTTGAGCGTTATAGGTATAGAGTTGAGTGTTATAATAGCGTTGAGTGTAATTTAAGGATATTGAGAATAGGGTTGAGTATATTCGAATAGAGATGAGTATATTGAGAATAGAGATGAGTATATTGAGAATAGAGATGAGTACATTGAGAATAGAGTTGAGTATATTGAGAATAGAGATGAGTACATTGAGAATAGAGATGAGTATATTGAGAATAGAGTTGAGTATATTTGAATAGAGATGAGTATATTGAGAATAGAGATGAGTATATTGAGAAGAGAGTTGAGTATATTGAGAAGAGAGTTGAGTATATTGAGAATAGGGTTGAGTATATTTGAATAGAGATGAGTATATTGAGAATAGAGATGAGTATATTGAGAATAGAGTTGAGTATATTTGAATAGAGATGAGTATATTGAGAATAGAGATGAGTATATTGAGAAGAGAGTTGAGTATATTGAGAAGAGAGTTGAGTATATTGAGAATAGGGTTGAGTATATTTGAATAGAGATGAGTATATTGAGAATAGAGATGAGTATATTGAGAATAGAGATGAGTGTATTGAGAATAGAGATGAGTAAATTGAGAATAGAGTTGAGTATATTTGAATAGAGATGAGTATATTGAGAATAGAGATAAGTATATTGAGAATAGAGTTGAGTATATTTGAATAGAGTTGAGGGTAATGCAAATAGAATGGTGAATAAGAAATAGTTGAGTGTATTAGAATGGAGTTGGGCTAAGGCGGGGAAAAAAAAATAATATATCTCATCAAAATCAGCAATGACAAATTTGTTGACCATACAGAACAGTAGTTCTAATTACGACCACTAGTAGCTGATTAGAATAAAGTACAGAATCAAATCAGGCTTTCTCTATGACTTTCATGACTTTTAATTAAAACTCTACTTCAAAGTTGTCATTTCCAGTGAGCAGAGAGATCTATCATCCATACAGAAATATATTCCCACTAGATTTGTGATTAATGACCAGTTTTCCTTTAGATCTAGAAATACGAGGAGGCTGTAATATCATTCTTTTATAGAATATCACACCAAGTTATTACATGTCTATCAATCCTATAGTTTTATATTCTATAATAATGTGTAATTTCATTGGAAGCCTGTACAATGATTATTTTATTCTCAATGATAATGTATGATTTTCTGTATTCAAAATATGAATATAGTTTCTCTTATTTCTATTATGTTGTATCATACAACTGAAACTCTGTACATTATATTGTCCATAGTAATGCAGAATTTTCTTTATTGGAAGCATGTGCAATAATTTTCATTCATATTCATTTACTATATATATCAGGTACAAATTTCTTTATTCAAAGTGTGAAGATAGTTTCTTTTATATTCAATTATGATTTACCATAGAACCCACAAGAAGTCTACCATCAAATTGCAAATGTTTAGAATATAATATACACTATAGAGTGTATACAGTGCAAATTAAAATTTGTCTTTATTTGGGAAGGTTTGTTGCGTTATAAGAAAGGTTTATTGAAGAAAACAATTTTTTTCTTGACTAACTAACAAAGAAACTTAAAGTCTCTGTCTTGAATGTTACAACAAAAAGTTACTGTGTCAGATATTTCAGTTACTAAGTTAAAAAGTAACAGTGTGTAACAGTATGAATATCGGACACTATCATCCAGACTTGTTTTACTTATAGTATGAATGTCTGTTCTGTAGACACTACCTTCCAGATCTAAGTTGTAACCATCGTGTGTAGTGATTTTGCATTAGTCTAGATACTTTTTATCTGAATATCAAGGTTTGAAAATGTGAGTTAATGTAATAGAGCGAGATTAGTTTAATTAATAATTAATATAACATAATACTTGATATAGTATAATAATAGAAACATAATAAAAATGGCGGATGTTCATATTAACTATTTATCAATATTGATCAATTATAATTATCAGCTTTCAAATAGTCTTCTTCAAGTGTTACGTTTCTTGAAGATAGATCTATATAGTAGGGAAAATGTATTCTAAATTCATAATTTATATCATTCCTTTACAATTTTGATGAACTGAGAAACTGAGTTCTCTGTGTACACAGAAAATTGACATGCCTTTAATTTGAATTTTTAAGGGCTTTTTTCAATTTCAGTGACAATTTCATGATTTTATGACAGAAAACCCAATCAATATTCCAGTAAGTCGCAGATGTTATCAATGTTCCTCAGCTGGTTAAGCTTCTAAATTATGGAAATGGCAAGTCCTGTCCTCATCATGACTTCTTTTACAGGTTTAATCTTCTTAACCATGTCATGTGGAGAAATGTTAAAAGCCATCAAATTTTCACTCCGCATTAACAGTAAGAGATTTGAAAAGATAATTTGAACAACATAGTGAAATCTTCTGTAAATGGAAGTATTTTAGTCCTACCCTGATGAAAGTGAAAAATAATGCAATAATTTTAAACCTCTTCTAATACACATCAGGTATAATGAGATTATGTCATTGTGCCAAAATAAAACCTTTGATGCCAAAATGGTAGTCATGAAATATACAACTACTACAGGGGAAAATTTTCACAAATATAAGGTGCATGTACTTTCTAAATTGTCAACAAAACATCAAAATAAAATAGCAGAAACATTACAATTGATTTCTTCAGATTCATGACCATTACAAGTCCATTGTAACATATCCATTTCATCGCCTTGCGTGAAGTTTGCCTACAAGTTAGTATATGGACAATCCCAATTGTAGGGTGAAAACGGTGATTTGGAATTTTGAGCCAGATCAGCATCTCTTGAAGCACCTGTCATACTGACATCATACAAGATTTACAAGGTACAAGTATGTAGTGTTATCATTGCAATTTGAATATGACATGACACAATATAACACTCGGGAATTATCAATAAGTGAGAATACAATCTCCATTTCTGACAGTTGAGTTCATAAAATATACACTGATTATAAATAAATAAAAACTAATTTTTAATGGAAAATAACCGACAGAAATATTTCACCATGCAAATAAAAATGGTAGAATTACACCTTATCTAAAATTGTCTAAAAATCATAAGTTGAAGTCATTTATTCATTTAAGTGTTTGATTTGGAAGCGAGAGGAGCTTCAGCCATCTGTACCACTTTTCAGAATCCAAATTCTTTCAATTTAACAAAAGCTTACTAAGGAAGATTAGACAATATTAACTTCAATTTCAGATGTTACTTAGAACAAGTCAATTACAACAAAACCAAGCACTGGAATCTAATTCTGAGAAGTGATACAGATAGCTAAATTTAACCAGCACGTAACAAAGCAAAAGTTTCATTGATTGCAACCCTTTAAACTATTAACACTTTCTGTCTGAATATTGTCACATTTCAACGGTTTTAACACATAGGACCTCTAATATAATATGATGTGTTTTTAAATATATGAAAATCCTCTAAATGAAAATACCATTAACCCAAACTGTATCAGATGAAGTAGGAGACCTAAAATAAATCCTGATTGTGACAATATCATATCTCACAAAGGCTTCTCTAATGATTTGAAAGAAGCCTGAAAGTGATGGTATGAGAAATCAAGTATCAGTATAACAATATACTTACATAGTGAATCGACAGTACCAGTACTAGCGTTACTAGATCTTCTATCAATACTCATTAACTGTTGTGTAATACGCTTGTCAAGCTGTACTGAATGACGTTTCCTTCCAGCCCGAGCACGATAGGCTTCCTCGCCGGAATCTTCTAAGTTTGCCATTTTCTCACCAGAATTGAACTTGTCAAAATTTTCGGTAGAGGAATTGTTATTGTTACGAAAACTAAACATCTTTTTGGACAGCATTTTGCTTGGTACAAGTATAACAATTGAATAAACTAGTATATAAATACTATTGACACAAGTTAAAGGTAAATACCAGTGACAAGCATTATTAAACTACCAACTACTCTGTTACAACTATCTGTTATTCTTTCACCTTGAGCAGTGAATGTGAAGATCACACTGTAT